TAATAATAATAATAATAATAATAATAATAATAATAATAATAATAATAATAATAATAATAATAATAATAATAATAATAATAATAATAATAATAATAATAGTAATAATGATAATAATAATAGCGATAATAATAATAGTGGTAATAATAATGATAATGATAATAGTAATAATGATAATAATAATAGTAATAATAATAATCTGAGATCAGTAAATTGAAGGTTAACAAGTTACCACCTGATTCAATTTCAAAATATCCGAAATCTGATCAATTTTTCAATTCACAAACATCGATTTATTATTTATTAAAATTTGTGTCAAAAAAAAATCCAACATTTCATATTTAACATTACTACGATATAATACTAAACAATAACCGAATCAAAAGGTTAAAGGTTAACAGGATAATACTTATTTGAATCCATTTTTGTTTTATTAAAATGTTGTCAATAATTCAAGCAAAAATTCGAATATCATCGTTTTTGGAACAATGACGAATTTTCTACCTATTGCTAACAGCAAATTTAAACACTTCAATGATGTGCTCTTCTATTATGAACTTAAACATTACTTAGCAGCTAAAAGGTTTTGATTAACATGGAACATCCAAACCAATCATCATCATCATCATCATCAACATCATCATCATCATCATCGTCATTATCATCATCATCAACATCAACATCATCATCATCATAATCATCATAATCATCATCATCATCATCATCATCATCATCATCATTATACAAAATGATGCTTTTCTTATTCATCACAAATAAATGATTACTTATGAATCGTTATGCTAATTTGTCCTATAGCCCTTATGCTTCTGTTTATTCCGGACAATGGCGGTAATTGGTTTGATTGAATTTGAACATCATCATCATGTGTTTGCCTTTAAAATAAGTTAAAATTTATCGAATTCTTGCAAAATTTACCCCATTTTATTTCGAATATTTTAAAAAGCACAAAGAAATATGGAAGAAATCTTCATCCTTCTTTAAAAAATGTGATCATTTCATCCGAAAAGATACAAATAACAAAGTAGTTTTAGAAATTTTAATTTGTGTTAAAAAAAAAAAACTTTGAAATTTAAATCCCTAACAAAAAAAAAAAAATGAAAATAAGCATATTAAAGAATGCCCATATATCGATCTACAAGTAATCAATCCATTTTACTACCGTATTTCCAAAACGAATAACTCGTTATTCCAAAATTATACGGAATATAATCTCACCTATAAATTTCTACTTAAGATATCCTGTTTTAAAATATATAATGATTACAATTTCTTATCATTTATCAGTATTTTTTCAATTTTTTTTTTTTTTTTTTTTAGGTATAATAAGATAAAAGTAATACTATACCAAAACAACCCGTTCAATTTGTCAATTTGATGCGACAATTTGAAAATTGTCATTGATATTTCCGATTGGAATTCGAACAACCAATTATCATTTTAATCCAGAAGTAATCATATTTATACACAAATAACAATTACCTTCCTAATCAACTATTTTAGCCGAATATCTTGCCAAAAATGATTTTGTTGTTCCTAAAATCAATCTTTTTTTTTCTGACACCAACATTTTTTATCAAACATTTCACTGCAGTATTTATTAGTAATTTATATGATATACAAAAATATAAAACAAAACATGAATAATCAAAGAAACTATGCAATAAACAAGCATGGGTTGTGCAAAAAATATTAGAAAAAAGTTTTTAAGAAACTTTTTTTTTTCTTGCACATCCTCCTATCTAAACAAGAATTTCTTAGTTCCATAATAAAACATTTTCTATTAGTTCGCTTATCTTTCTCTTCCAGTTGTCATCATATGAAAATCATTTGCATTGTGTGAAAGAGCTCTCCACATTTACGATGACATGACAACAGCATACAATGTTGGCACTGTTCATCACACTACGATATCACAATAATAATAATAATAACAATACCCTAGTCATCATCAAACAATACAACAATAACCCAGAAACAAATGGCATACGACGCTTAACAAACAAATAAAATCAGTTTGTTGTACAAATAAACGTATCAAATTTGATGAATAAAAACAAACAAACAAATTGAATTTATAATTTTCAATCATAAATACCGGAAATATTTCAAAAAAGATTTCAATATTTGTTGAAAATCGAAAAATTCACAATTAGCGGAATTATTACTAATACCGTATTCTTCGCTTGCTCCTAAATGATCCATTGAAGTATGAAAAACCAGTTACAGTCCGCATCAACAATTATCATATTCCCTGTAAATAATACATATCTAATAGACGTGAAATTTAAATAAAATCAATCCAAGTTAATTTAAATATGAATAGCAAAGAAGAAAAAAAACATTTGAAGCTCTGGATTACAATATTTTAATACTTGAAATAAATAACATGATGTTTTATAATCTTCAAATGATGATCATAAGCTATTCTAATTATCTAATAAATCAATCACCAATACCAAATTCCATCTTTTAATGTTAATTCTAATATCACCAATAATTCCATTTATGTAGTACAATCATTAAAATGTGACTTCAGCATTCATAATTAAGAGCAGCTGCTATTGCTACAAACAAGATAATCAAATCATCTATCCAGCTATATTCGAAAATAACTACTCGCCCTATTACAACTAATATATTT